TTTCATTGTAAATACGATCTCTGAAAAGTACACATCTTATTTTTCCAATCGTGTGTCCACCTACAATATATACAAATCACAATTTTTTTTTTTTTTTGAAAACCAATTTATGCAATTAAAATTATTAATTTGATAGAAATTTAAATATCTATTTTAATTTTAGAATTGGAGAAGTTCATACCAGTTAAGGCAATTAAGTCCGTAGGTGAGAGTCCTTGAGCTTGAAACCTATTGATGAGTTGATTAAGTGTAGCGGATGGAGGAGGGATTACACCACTGTTAGCAGATGCAAGACTAGCTGTCTTTGAATCCCTTCTTCCTAGTTTAACAATCCAGTTAGGCCCTCCGAGCTGCAACATAACATGAGTAATTATATATATGTATACAACGATGAACACTAATACTATCTAATCTGATGAAACATATTTTACCAGTTTTCAGATTCTTGATCATTAATTTCTAAATTTGATTGAAATAAAAAAAAGAAACATGATTAGTTAAAGCTGGATAAAAATTAAGAACTTACAAGTACAACCGAGTCACGAGCTGCAATTGCTAAAATATCAGCACATGAAACAATACCGGGACATACTTCCTCTAACTTGACTTTTATGGCATCGACGACTTCGTATCCTCTCAAAGAATTGTTATTAGCAACTGCGGTTTTTTCTCCAACAAAAGTAGGAGTGTCATCTAAGAGAACCGATGCATCACATCCCTATAATAAAATAGACATGAGAAGTTTTTAAACTCTCCAAAGCAATTTGGTTAACTAAGAAAACATATAAAAATTAACAACATCATTACACACACACACATATATATATGTATATTTAGTTGCAGAAAGAAAAACGAAAGACAGAGAAGATGAAGAAGAAGATCAACTAAGAAAATTACGTTGACAAAACAATCATGAAAGTGCAATCGAAGAAGAGAAGCACCCATACGCGGTTCTTTTGCTACGGCATCTCGAAGTACCGATCTTACAGTAACGAGTACTTTCGGACAAGTTTCAGCGTAGAAATCTGGAGAAAGCTGGGCATAAGAGTTGTTTGACAGGAGCAAAAGCAAACATAGCCTTGCAAAAATGGCCTTCAAACAAGAAGAACAAGAACAGACCATTTTCAGTATTGTTGAAACCCAATCATTTACAAATTACAAGCCAAATAAAAGGGTGTAGATCTGATCAATATTGGTTATATATTTTGGATTTCGTTGAAACTCACGTTATCATCAGTGGCATACATCATTATATTTCAATATGGGATAGTCCCAAAATGTGTGTTTTTACGTATGTATTGATTTTGTAATATTATAAAGGTCAATGATCACCGCTTCTGATTTTTTATAAAGCTGGGTATTGCAATTATTGACCATTCAATATATGAAGCTTGAAAATTGAACATAAATAGTGAATTCAAAGTTGGACTTTTTATGAGGAAAATTTGTCAAACCATTTGCTTTAACACCGTTTGATTTATTTACTGGACAGGATTAATCGAACTATATATATATTATAAAATGAAAATATATGCGTACAAAAATATAATATTATACTCAATTCTTACAATATATCATCTCTGTACAAAATTTGACTATTTATGATCGCGATAGGTTTTCTATCATGCATATAGAATTTTTTTCACACACACTCTTATACCTGCACTGTAACATTATACCAGATTATATATAACATATACTTGTAATATTCTTTACCAAGATTTTTCTTTTGCATTATATGATAATGACAGGCATGCATTCCTGTAATGACTTTTCAACGCCGGCCCTTTTTAAAAATCAATTAACAACTAATTGCAGGATTTTAAATTCAATAATATTATTAACCAATTATTTGTATATTTCGTTAAAATACTATATTATAATTTGTGAATATGTATTTCGTATTTAATAAAATATATAACATCATTTACCACTTAAAAGTGTATTGCAAATTCTAATACATTGGGGAAATTAAGATTTTAGATCTTAATGATATTCAATATTTTTTAAGAAATTAAGGACATTTAATAAAATTCAACATGGACTGAATGGGTTAGGCCTAAAAACGACACTAGCATTAGCCAGGCCTTTTTGATCCAGCTGAGAGCTTAAAATTGACCCATTTCTTCTGTTCTTAATCATCAAATTTACAGTGAGGATTAATACAATTATACCCAGTTAAAAGCATAATAAAATTTGAAATTAAATTAGCCATGCATATATATGTAGGAAAAAGAAAAACTATATCACACTTAAGAAGAATGTTCTACAATTAATTAGTATAAACTCCACTTTTCAAATACATTTTTGGATTCGATGTTATCCAATTCTTATTATTGCATAAAGAATATGACAAACTTGGGCGAAGAACCAGAGGAGTAAGAAGATTTTTTTTTTTTTTTTTACTTTAAAAAAGGGCCAATAAAAACTTTGAAAAGAAAATTTGAAGTAGTGTATATAAGTTATTGACTATAAATGAAGAGATTGATAAACATTTCATGTAGAATAAAATTAAGTTCTTATTTATTGGAACAAAACTAATATAATACAATTTACAATTAAATTAGGAAGCCACAGAAATAAAATTACAATATCATATTCCAAATGATGAACATCCTAAAATTAGCAAATACAATTTAGAATTTTAAAAGAAACCAAATGAAAAGTGCATCACCTATTTTCAGTCCAAGGGTAGTGTTCATTTTACTCCAAATGTAGAGAAATAATTGTAGATAAGTATATTAGGCCTCCTACAATTCTTTCTAATCTCACTATTTGATCCGGTAAGTGGTTCGTTATCCCTCGTCCTTATCATTGCCTTGATGAAATCAAAAATAAAAATATTGGGATTATTGCTATATTTTTTAATTAAAGAATCTACAAAGCCACCGTTAAACAATGTTCGATCAGAGTGAAGAAGATCTCGTGGGTTCAAAAGATTCTTATAATATTAGTTATCGAAAGCATTAAGAATTCTAAAGTCAAAAGGTGTCATCTCCCTCTCTCACAGTTCTCGGACAAGTCAAAAATTAAAGAATTAATATTGGTCTCGTTGTATATACGATTCCTAAAAAGCAAGCATCTTATCTTTCCAATTGTATATGTAAAGGCAAGAAAAGTAATGAAAGATTTTTTAATATTATCTCTGTATATCATTTATTGTGCATAAATGTGCATTTATATACACACAGAGAGGGAGAGGAAACACTGATCGAGGAAAGAAAAAACCCCTAACAGATACACAATAACCCAAAACAAACAATATTCCAGAATCTGCTTTTTTACCACTGTTCTCAACAGAAGGCATCTTTTAATTTTCACCGTCCACTTGTCCTTCATCTCAGCATGCTCTACATCTGACCCTTCATTTTCTGCTTTCGATCTTGATCGTTCATTCACTTCAAAACCCTAGCAGGAATATTTTTAATCTTTTATAGCCGGTCTTCAAGATAAAACACGCTTGTAGTTCTGTTTCTTTGAACACCCATTCTCTTATATCGATCCATGTTTGAATCCGCTTTATATGTGTTTCATCTTGCAAAGAAGATGATGGTGGACTGTTGTGCCTAGTGATTTTGTGAGTAAGTCTGCGAGTTGCTCTTTCGAGGTAACATACTCTGTTTTGATAAAACCACTTAAGATTTTATTGCGAACAATATGATAGTCTATGTCGAAGTGTTTTGTTCTTTCGTTAAACACATGATTTGTCGTGATGTGTTCTGCAGCTTTGTTATCATAGTGTAATATGATAGGCAAAGGAGGCGTGACCGTGAAGTCCTTAAGTAGATTGGTAATCCATTGTAGCTCGCACACAGTTGAAGATATACTTCTATATTCGGCTTCTGTAGATGATTTATTGACTGTTGTTTGTTTTTTTATTTTTCAGGATATCATCGATGGTCCGAGGAAAACACAGAAGCCTGTGGTGGATTTATGAGTCACCAAAGATGATGCTCAGTCTGAGTCGCAAAAAGTCCGAATCTTGTAGTTGTTCTTCTTTGGAAAGTACAAGCCTTGCTCTGGGTACTGTTTTAAGTATCTAACAAGATGGAGTGTCGCGTCTAAATGTGGCTTCCTGGGTTGTTGCATGAATTGGCTCAAGTATTGAGTGGAGTAAGAGATGTCTGGTATGGTGAAGTTGAGATAAAGCAGCCTCCCGATTAAACGTCTGTATCTTTCTGGGTTCGGTAAGATTTCACCCTCTTTCGTGTTTAATTTCAACCCTGTTGGTAAAGGGAAGTGACTTCCTTTTGCCTCTTGCATGCCTGTGTCTTGTAATATATATTTTATATATTTTCGTTGGCTGATGTAAATTCCTCATTTGGACCTAGCTATTTCAACGCCGAGGAAGTATTGTGCCTGTCCTAGATCTTTCACCGTAAATGCCTCATTCAGCACTCTTTTGACTTTGTTGCTTTCTTTCTCATCTTGCCTTGTGATAAGCAAGTCATTGACATAAACAACTATTGTAAGGTAATTTTTTTTCTTCCTTTTGTAAATAAACAATGGTCTGCTTCAAATTTGTAAACCCAATGGAATGGAGTTTTGAAGTGAGCTCTTTATTCCATGTGTCCTGCTTGCTTTAGCCCGTATAGACTTCTGGTTAAGTGACAGACTTATCCTTTGCTTGCTTTAGTGTAGCCCTCTGGAGGTTTTAGGTATAGTTCTTCTTCTATATAGCCATGTAGATATGTATTATTTATGTCCAGTTGATGGACATGTCAGCTATTTGCAGCCGCTATGGCAAGAAGTAATCAGACAGTTACCATTTTGGTTATCGGTGAAAAATTATCGTGGTAGTCGATTCCAAATTCTTAGCTGTAGCCCTTGGCGACGAACCTCGCTTTGTATTTGTCAACTGTTCCATCTAGGTTGTTTTTGATTTTATACACCCATTTTAAATCAATTGCCTTTTTTCCTTCAAGCAGCAAAGTTAGTTCCCATGTTTTATTTTTTTCTAGTGCATCTAGTTCAGCTTACATAGCTTTAATCCACCTACTGTCCTTCTTAGTAACCTCATATGATTTTGGTTCTTGTGTAATCGAGACGTGCAACAAAATTGACATAGTCATGATTGTATATAGGTAGGTTTGACATAAAAAAAAAAGGGAGTCTGGAGATGGTGTTTCTGTCATATGTGCCACAAAGTTCTCACCCTGGACTACTTTGAATTTCTAGTTCTTGAATTCTAGGTTCAGGTAAGGTGACTTCCCTTCCGTTATGTGGTTGGTCTTCATTGTCATCTGGTATGATTAAATTGGGTATTGATAATGGTGTATCTTGATGATTAGTTTGTGGTGATTGTGATTGATATGGATAAGCATGTTTGTGAAATATAACATCCCTTGACATGAATAATTTTTTGTTTGAAATGTCATATAATTTGTATGCTTTAACAACGATTTCATAAAAAAAAAAAAACACATTTTAAAGTTTGTACATCGAACTTTGTCTTTTGAGGGTGTATGTTTGTAGCAAAACACAAACAACCGAATATTTTTAAAATAAAATAATCTGGTTATTTTTTGTGTAAAATTTCATAGGGGGTTTTCCATTTTAAAACTGAGTTTGGCAAAATATTTATTATGTATGTAGCCATGAGAATGGATTCTCCCCAAATTTTTTTTAGCAAATTTGACTCAAACATTAGTGCTCTAACAACTTGTAAAAGATGTTTATGCTTCCTTTCTATCACGCTGTTTTGCGATGGCGTGTAAGCACAAGTTTTGTTATGCACAATGCCTCTCTTTTGAAAATTTTTTTTTGCATGATTTATTTATAAATTCAGTACTGTTATCTGTTCTAACAATTATAATAATTTTTTTAAACTCATTTGACACAATATTGTAAAACTGTTTTAAAATTTTTAAAACATTTTATTTTTCTTTTAACAAAAAAGTCCAAGTTGTTCTAGAAAAATCATCCACCATAGTTAGGAGATAAGAAGCTCCTGAAATAGATTGAACTGAATAAGGACCCCAAAGATCACATGTATAATTCAAAACATCATTGGCAGTATACTGCTTTGGAAAGGTAAACGTTGTTGTTTTGCTAAGGGGCATATTTCACAAACATGTGAATCTATTTCGTCTGAAAAATTCAAGGTGGGAATATGAAGTAGCTTGTTCATTGATGTGTGGTCGAGTCTTTTGTGCCAAAGTTATAGAGTGTGGCTGATACGTGCATTTTCTGGTTCTATATCTTTGCTCAGGGTGTACATGCCTCCCTTTATTCT